CTGCCACTCCTAGGACATTTGCCGGCTATTGAGCCGCCGAGCTTGACTTGCCTTCTGTTCCGGTTTACTGCAATGGGAATAGTTATAATTTCAAAGTTACCACTCGGAGGCAACAATACATAACCAACAGACGGATATAAGGTGCTGAATGATTGGTTAGCTCGAGCTGTTCAAGCTTTCTGCGTCCCTGGAGCCTTGGCCAAATCATATAACATGTCAATTCTTTGAAGAATACCAGACCGACTTCTTACAAATTAGACTGAGCGCGCATTTTGTCTGTATGCCGTGTGTACGGTATTTAAATACAATGGCAACACGCGTCTTCAAACCGTACGTTAGACTTGTCGCTGTGCTGATAATAGTTACAGATGTGACTTATGAACAAGAGTTAAGGGCAACCACACAACCAAATAACGTGGCCTCGTTGGAATCTCATTCTCATTCGAGGTAGGTTAATACTTCCATTTGTTTCAACATCTTAGGATTACATCTACAAGCATTGAATTTATAAAACCATGTATAGTTGCTAGGAATTTAAACGCTATTTTCTTAAAAAGCATAGAATCTCTTAGGCGCTATACATTGACGAAATGTTGTCATAATGTCATTTTGTGTGCATTACTTTTTATAGACGCAAGTGTTGTACTCAAGACGATGATTAGAGTAATTTTCGTGCAGTTTGGTGAACAAAGTGTTTTATTCAATGTCATCACCATCGATAATTTACTTAGCTGCGAAATGAGTCAACCGAAGTCTTATAAATGTTTGATAAATAGAAAAAAAAACATCTTTACCGTGTTTACAATATTGTTAAATTATATGTGAAATGTTAGTATCTGCACATATCTTTGGAATTTTTCCGAATAATTTATTTCCGTGTCAAATCGGTTTGAACATCAACTATCCTGATATCAATTATAATTCGTTATCTCAAACACCAGCCCTGATTAGACGACCAAATATTAAAAACGACTGATCCATTCGAAGATACATTATGGGTTTCTATGATGATAAGTGGACATCCCTACTCCACTAGCACCCCACTATTCCTGCACTTGCAAACGTACATCCCTGAGTCGTCTTGCGGTTCCTTATGAAAAAAAAAAACCTACTGTTTCATATACTAAAAACGGCGATTTAATCAATTATCCAAACTTGACAAATAAACACATTCATGCACATATAGATAAATAAAAAGCGTGGATAAATAAATAGCACTGAATAAAAAAAGGACATTCGGGTAAAATCGTAACGAAAGCAATTTAAAAATAAACGACTCGGCATCATGGTGAGCGTCGATCGTCACCCTAATGAGTTCAGTTGGCCACAAGGCGCCAGCGTGCATTGATTCTCTGGAGATGCAATCAGTGGATTCACCTACGGTTAATTAATATTAAACTTTCAAGGGGCAATGTTTATCATGCTTCGTTTTTGTTATTATGAAAGCAAAGGAAGTTTGAAATAGGTTAAGTATTTTGAAAAGAATCCATGACGAAGGTATTGAATTAATGCTGTCGCATTAAGGACACGCGCTTCTTCCGAGAGATAAAAACTGGAAATTGAACGGAACCAACAATAAGGTGCCCTTAAAAGACTGGTATTCCTTTTCCTAATTGATCCAGGCTGTATCTTTCCTTTCATTTTTTCTAAAGAACAGATACCTGCACGAAATGTGGCACGTTTATCAGTTATTACCACATGAACAGAGCCTTGCCTTGTGACATTTGTCAAAGAAAAATCTGAGGAGGGAGACTGGGGTCCCTAATAGATACAGGAGACCTGATACTAAGGACACTTTTTTAATATATTTATAAAGGTTTTACATGTATTTTATAGAGGTCTAATTTTTCTTGAGCCACACTGATCGAGGGGAAGAGGGGGGCATGCTCCTGCTGCGTCGATACAAACTGTTGGTGAGGCATTTCTTACGTGAACTGGGCGGAAACAGAGATAGGGCTTCGTGTGAGAGCGTCTGTCCGGCCATGGACATAATGAGAGATATGTCCATGGTCCGGCAGAAGAATCGTACTGAGTATTTTACCTCCCCCCCCCACTTTAACCCCCTTTCCTGATTTCCTGCAGCTTCCCCAGAGTAGAAGCGACGTCCATTTACCCACCCTCCATTAGTTAATGCTGCAAGTAAGTCCTAATAGGCGTTATTATCGGATTGTAAACCATTACCATTGCGCTTTCCTAAATTCTTAATGCTACTGAACCAAGAGGAGATATATAACCCAGTGAGGCAACAATTCAATGAGGATCTTTGGCACGAAGAGACAATGAACCCAGACCAATTTTCACAAAGTATACTATAGCGATCCAGTCTGTGCCGGTATACTTTAGGAGATTGGCAACTTAAAGAGACTCACCTAAACAGAGCCCCCACGCTCGACAAAGCCAATTATTTATCTTTAACGAAACAACGGGAAACTGATTAGTGGAGAACTTGTGGAAGGGAGTAAACCCCTGTAGGGTATACATTTTGGGACTCCTCAAAGTGTATTAATACAGACTGCAACGCTTAAGTATACCGCTGGATGTTAAAAGGGCCTAACATAAAACACTTCGTTCATTGCTGGGTGCACCGAAGTACCTAATGTCGTATTATCTAATTTATCAATTGTCATAGTTAAGATTGATATGGTTCGTCTAAAAGGTGCCCTATAGTAATCAATCACTTAGGGGGACAATAAAGCAAGTGGCTCGGGACGGAGCCCAAGTTAGGTATTATATACGTGAAAGGGTCCATATCGATGAATGACAGTCGGTCCCCTTGGGTCCCGGAATTTACCGAACACTTAACATGTTAACCGTCTGCCTTTATTATTGGTCAAACATTAACCTGGGTTAATTTCGTATAAATCCCAGAGGCAAAAATCAAACGTCTTCATAAATGTCCCAATCGTTCCATCATGCTATTGCAGTGCCTATGTTTTCGCCATTCAAAAAGGAAAGTTTTTCTCAAAAATCGCACTTTGTTCACTCAGGTGGCATACTGCTGATGTGGTGACTTTCGTCTCATTACAGTCGACTGGTATTGTCTAAAACAGAACATTTAACAACTCGTTAAGTTTATTCAGGTACAGACAAATATAACAACCTCTTCCCTTCCCTGACAAAAGCGTCTTGGTAGACACAAACTTACTGGAATAGTAATAACTTTGATTTTAATCCCTTTTCACATCTGGTGATTAAGCGATACAGTATGTAACGTTACACTTTGAGGTATCCTAACATGTAATGCATTACGCTGCAGGGTGTTAAATTAACTTCCTTTCACAATATCTCTATAAGATCTATTTAGTTGATTTCTCGGCTGTGGAGCGCTGAAGTCCTGCTTAGGAATAACCATACATGTATTTTTATAAATTGTCAACCTACCCTGGTGTATCGATATACAGACTGTATCACTAATGTATACCCCCCGATGTCAAAAAGGGCCTTAGCTGCTGTTTAAAAACTATAGTTGTAACTTGAAAGCATAACGCAGCTGATTAACTTGTGTGATTATTACTAACGAAGGCACCGAAGAACAACTGAATTATTTGTGTAAAAGACTCCGAACACGCAAACACGTGCAGCAAGTGTCATTATAACTGAATTATTCAAGAGTAGTAGCTGACTAAATGAAGCCGTTGTTACTAATGTTGTCACGCTGATTGATCACACACTGACTGCTCAGCTCTGCGTTAAATTTTGTATACTTACCAACTGGAATACACTCTTAGTTGGTGTTTCAAATATCAGGAGTACAAAATGCCCTTTGCGTTTTCAATAAGCAGATTCTAGGACAACGGACCTCTTTATTTCCGACTTCCTGACAAGACTGAAAACCCATCAGATTCGGAAGTTAATATTACAATGCCCAAACAACAAGCGACAGTATGTAATGAATTAAATTTTTGTTGTTTTAACAAAACCTACTCTAGTGACTTTATGCAGTTTTTTCTGTCGATGAGTGGGTTTTAAACATTTAGGACCACAATGGATGTCTTGAAACAAATTGCTAAACCACAAATTTGTGAAACCCTTGTCACAGTTCAAGTTTTCGTCCATTTCGATCGAAAAAGCGAAAATAAAGCCTCGTGCAAGAAGACGCCAGTTCCAAATTGTGTGTTCTGGGGCAGTTTCTGCCAAGTTTCTGCTTTTATTTATCGGGGAAACGCACATTTGCAAATAATTTTTGCTGAAAATGAAATAATAAATAAATCTTAAATTGAATATTTTCACACCATTTCCATGCCACTGTACAGTAAATTGCGCATTAGATGCCATTTGTCTACCCTCTGCGGATGTATAATCACAAATTACTTTACACCCTTACACCCTTGTTCACGGCATCTTTATATCCCAATGGCGTGTATGCCAGTTAAGTATTGTGAAAAAAATCCCAAATTGCTCAATGGTCAATGAGCATAGTGTTAGCATCAACTCGCTTTCACTTCTGGTTTTCTGACACATTTTTCATCGACTGATACAGGCTTCAAGCCTAATTCATCATCATGATTTAATATCATGCCTGACAACACTAAAGCCTCTTCATCTGTCATCAGTTTAAGTCCATCATTCAGTAGCATCTGAACAACAAAATGCACTCTGAAAGCTCAGCCTAATAAATGTGATTAAAGATGAAATGAAATCGCTCAGAGAACAAGAACAGCAATTGCCGTTTGTGACTTAGAGCCACAGATTAGCGATTTCGAATTTATGACTTGAATTGCAATTTTATGGTCCGGTTGCATATATACGGCGCACGTTCACGCCACTATGAATATTTTCCAAAATTTGCCATTCTGTTAAGTGGCGGCCACTTTACTTAGAAAAATGATTAATTAACCTCTTGCGCTGAATACAATCTTCAAATATATATATAAAAGGAAACAGATGGCTTCTTAGACCAATAGGATTCAATAGTAGCAATCTTTCTATCTGCCATCACTGCTGAGTTAAAAAAATTAAGTCTGGCTGTAAAGCACGGTGTAAACATTTATATTTCTTTTTAGATCCGTCTTGCTGAAACATTTATTCGCCGATTATGATCCCAGCGTGCCGCCAAATATAGACACAGGTAATTACATTAAAGGACTGTTCGTTGAGTTTCAGTTCCTTTAATCTTTTCATTGTTGTTTCAGGTACTGTATTCACTTCTCAAAGGCAGATGCACTCATTATATAATGGCATCTTTCTTGTGTTTGTATTAGTATAGAACCTCATTCCAAAATCACAGGAAGGGAAAATTTAGGGCATGCGTATCTAGGTGTCACTTTGGCGCAAAGCCATACAATACGGGTTCTACCTTTATAACAAAATATTTCTTTCTCTAATTTAAGCAATTTCCGTCTTGTCATCTATGTAAACCTCTCTGAGCGGTGTTGGTATAATTTGTTGGAGGGATGTGCTGAAATTTCCAGGAAATTTAATTTCAGTTATGTAAAGGATGGATCGCTCATTCGTGAACCTTGGGGGAAAAAGAGTGTCCAAAGTTATAAGTGTCAAGTAATAGCTTTAATGGCGGCAATGTGGGGTTTAGCAAACTGAAAGTCTTGAATGCCGTAATTCGATTTTTATGAAAATGTAAAAATTTGGCAAAGACATTTCCCCAAACCCTTGCATGGTATCATTGAAAGATTTTATTATCTCTAAAAGATTGATATGTTTCTTTCAGAGAATCCAACTGTGGTTGATGTTGACGTTTTCCTCAACAGCTTTGATTCTGTTAATGAACTGAGTATGGTAAGCGTACTCCTGGGAGTCTTCTAAAAATTGGATGACTTGCTCATCGTAGTGTCTTCTCAGGGAAGCGGCATTTTAGCGCAATTTCCCTTCAGGCTTACCATTAATTACGTACTGTTTTCAATTCCCTACATCTCATCTGGATATCTGAATTAGCTTTTGTAATTAGAACGAGTGGAGAGGTTTTTATCTTTATCTGGTCCTATCTTTTTTTATTATTCATGGTTCAGACTAAAAGGAAAATGAGAATACATTCCTTCGTGTCACAACCCATCATACCGGGGTACACGTTTCCTTAATGAGCAACAAATACATTCGGGACATTTCCTTAGTGTGAACGTGGTCTAAAAACTCAAACCATAACAACTGAAAGGCATGGCATGGCTATTGAATGGTATGTCTTTTCTCATAATTTTCTTGCAGGATTACACCATCAACATTTTTCTTCGTCGTAAGTGGACGGACGCCAGATTCCGCTTTAACTCCACTCACTACAATCTCACAGAGATAAGTATTGATCCACACAGATACGGGGACATCTGGAGTCCAGACCTATTTTTTACGAACGAAAAGCAGGCCAGATTTCACGCTATCACCACGCCCAATCATATGATTCGAATTAATGGCGATGGACAGGTTTTTTTCAGTTCCAGGTATTGGGCAGCGTTATTTTTTTAATGACCATATACCCTAGGGTGTGTTCTTTTAATGTAGTATCTATTAAAAAAGATTTTAATATCTTTTATATAAATTTTAGTAGTCGATGTCAAAGAGGTACAGCGCTTTACTATTCTAAAATGACATGCGCGTTTTTTCTTTTCTATAATACATATTTAAGTGTATTCCCTGGTTAAAAGTTAGTTGTGTTTCTTAAAAAGAATTATGGCATTCTGATTATCACTTTACTTGACAGGATAACGCTGACAGCTCAGTGTCCTATGCACTTGGACAAGTTTCCAATGGACACACAGACGTGTCAACTCGTGTTAGAAAGTTGTAAGTATGGCTCGTTTTCATTTGGCAAAACACTTGAATACTGGAATAATTACCTTACAGTTGTCGTATTATTGAATATATTACTTGTGAAGAAATGATCAAAATGAATATACCCCCCCCCAAAAAAAAAGGCGGTAGAAATTTAGAATTTATACCTTTTATAAACTGTAGAGACCAGTTCCTATACTCTCTCTCTCTCTCTCTCTCTCTCTCTCCCCCCCCCCCCCCCCAAGTCTTCCAATGCTTGCCTGATAATTCATGTTGACGAGTGACGCAATGGATTACCAAGTTCCGGAATAAAACTTCATTAATGATATTTGCAGTTGCGTATACCACAGACATAATCCAGTTTCACTGGTCGCAAGAGGAAAAAGAAGAACAGAAACAGATTAACCTGTCCCAGTTCAATCTGATAAATACCTCACACCACGAGAGAGTGAAATCTTACAAGTCTGGGGATGTTCAACGTGAGTTCACACATTATTTAAGCTGTTACAGCATTAATGATTTTTCTCACTCTGCCAGAGCAACTGACATTATCGATTTTATATCGGCCATCCAAGTACTGGAACGTCAAGGATGATTATTAACGTATTGTTTTTGACGATAACATAAATGCATTAGGCACATACATATGTAGGCCCACGTGTAACGTCTCCATTAAAATGGAAGCTGGCTTTTTTCACAATCACGCACTATTCAGCTGTTCAGTTTATAGTTTCAAACATACCCTGTTGTAGCGGAGGGTGTTCTTTGGTACTCGGAAGCTCAGGGTAACCACTTGCGCAAATATTGACTAATTTTTGAAAAGAGAATGCTTAGGCCTAAATCTGCGTGCGTCGAAGAATAATGCACTCCTTTTTCTTAGAATATGTTCGTCTGAAGATTACTGCACAATCATCGAATAAAATTTGAAATGCGTCTAAAAAGATATTTCAAAGATAGCAGGCACTGTTATTTTAATTCAATTTTATGAATTAATACCTATAAAAGAAAAAAAAATAATAAAACAGGAGACACTTTTCAGAGGTGTTCCAGGTTTTCTGTTCCATGTTTCAGGTAACTTCACGCGGCTAATAATGGAATTCGTCCTGGAGCGAGACTATAAATACTTCATCATCCAAACGTACATCCCAAGCATACTGATCGTGTCTCTGTCCTGGGTAGGATTCTGGATCAGCTACGACTCTGTTCCAGCAAGGATCACCCTTGGTTTGCTGACCGTCCTCACGCTGACGACACAATCGTACAGCATACTCCAGACGTTACCTCGCGTGTCCTACGTCAAGGCCATTGACGTGTGGATGTCCACGTGTCTGATTTTTGTGTTCTTGGCTCTGCTGGAGTTTGTGCTGGTCAACACAAGTCATAGGAAGATAACGAGGCGGTCCATCAAAGGAAATGCTCAAGTAAGAAAATTGATGTAAAATTGAAACAAAATATATTTTGAAGGGTTATCCATAATTGGCCAGCGTTGATCATTTATACTTCAGAACTTTTAAATGAAAAAAATTAGATCTAACCTATAACATTTTGTCTTAGGTTTTTTGCCAATTCTGCTTTGCCTATAATGCTATTAACCTAGCTTATTCAATCGAACGCGAACATTTAGACAATCTGTCGTAAGAATCTTGGAAATTGGCTTTATTTTCTCTTTGTTTAATGGTTTTTCGTCGTTACAAATGTTTGTTAATTTCAGATAAAAACTTGTTTGTTCCAGACGCCATACTTTATCCATTCGTTTATGTATCATTACGTTTTTTTCGAATTCGGTTTTGATCACATTATGATTTGAAACTGTACGTATTTATACGAATTCTGACTTTCAGTTAAAAAGTGATCCTAAATGGCAGCATAACTGAACTACGAACGAGGCTTACTGCCTTTTTACCAACGATCTTAATTCCAATGTTTCAGCTACCACGTAAGGCGAATAGTGCCAAAGAAGATGACGAAAACCATCGAATTTGGCGATATAACGAAATAAGAGCAAGCACGGTGGATAAATGTGCCAGAGCGTTCTTCCCGTTGGCTTTCCTGATCTTCATTATCATATACGTGTCAGTGTACACAGCGATGTCTGATGTTAAATATCCACACGACTGAACCAAGTAACGATTTTTTTCTATAGAAATACATGCGGATCCTCGCCAAGCATATTGTACGTGCTTTTTTTCGCATGTACACAAACAACTCAGCTCGCGCTCAAAGGACAGCACATTCTTATCAAGTCTGCCGTCAAGTGAGTTCTGTGACATTCAGAGGGTGTACTTTTTTGTGTGGGGAGTCATTGCTTAAACAGCAAAGAAGATTGACTACAAGGCTGCACATGAAGAAGTTGTGATCCTGGATTTTACACCATATCTAATATTGATCGACCAGAATGACTTTGAGAAAAAATGTCATCGCAGAAATTTGTAGTAATGTTTTCTACTAATTGTAATGTTTTCTACTAATTGCAAAAATATATATGGTGTCTCTCGTCTTTTTGTTGATTGGCTTAAAAACAGTACTGAACATTTAGTAAATTAACCCTTATAATTCAATGTATTGATAAATGCCAGTTTCTAATACGTAGTATGGAACTTGTGTGGGAATTGCAATTTTGCGATAGTTGAGATCGTGCATTAAGATGGGAAGTTCGTTGAATGACTTGAATGCGCGCGGCATTTGATGTTACAAATATCATTAATTTTGTATGTATACAATTAGTATTCGTTGCATTACGTCTGAATTATGTACGAACCTAATGTTCTTACATTACTTTGCAAATGTGTTTATAACATTTTACCAACATACATTGGAATTTTATAAGTAGATTTTGTCAACAATTAGCTGTGCATACGTTTAAAGTGTAGGTCATATTATTCATATATAGGCCTATTGCTTATCATTTTATATCTTAGATCATGCGGAATAGATAAACTACTGAAATCACAAGTTGTCTTTGTCATTCCACCCCGAGACCTATCCGCGGCGTTCACAAATTTTACACAATATTATTCATGTATAAATAGGCCTACATTTATATTTAAATGCATTACTCTGCTATCTGCCTGTGCGGATAATTTGTTTGCATTGTGTCACGTTAATAATATTCTTTAACGTCTCATGTAGGCCTATGTTGTTTAGCCCGGAACTCTACTATAGCTTCCATTAAAGGCATCCTATTCGAGATTTTCGCTCCAAATTATAATTTCGTCGAGAAAAGATATTTCTTCTATTTACGGCTCAAGTCACTTGAATCTGATATTTTATATCATTATTTTAATCTTAATAATTTAACAATAATTTAAAAAATTAGCCTATAGAAAACCTGATGTCTGTCAAGACCACCAGTTTTCCTGACATTTCAGAAGGAAATACATCATCATGCACTTATAGAGGAATTTTATCATTTCCAAAGGTGTAAATTGAGAGAGTTAAGACCATATTAATTAGCCTTTTCGGGATAAATTTAGAAATAACTTTCAAAATACATTTTTTTTCTTTTTCTAAAGCGAGGCACACAATCGGAACAGAGGGAGCACGTGAAAATGTTTTCTTGTTGTTGTTGTTGTTGTTTTTTTATTTATAATGGTGCAAGGCTCAATTAAAATACTTTACTATATAGATCTAACTCTTTCCTGATAATAAAAATAAAACTTGTTTTTAATAAAGCCATATTGTATTGTTAATAAGTAACTTTAATTGATATTTTAAAAGAATTGAAATCTTCAACACAGCCCGACAACACGCCAAATAAAGCGATCTACGTGACCTAGTTCTGTAACGAGGCTCAAGCAGCTCGGATGTTTTTACCTTGTGCTAGGTTTGTGACTTATAATTTAATATTGAATTTGCAGTAAATAAATAACATATCTGTATATACATACCCTATATATTAAGTTGACTATTGATAGTGCTTATATATTTTGAGTTCATGTGCAAAGACGTCATTGATTCATCAAGATCCTACTTTGGGCCCAGGACAACCGCCAAGCATGCTCCGTACAAAAACTACAGCTACTGATATGACATGTAACCTGTTTTATCCCTGCTGACGTATGTAAACAATCAGTCAGAGTTTCAAGCCGAACAATTACAGGTATTTTTACATTGTGATTTATCTCCAAATTTAGGTTTGTATGTCGTATGTCTGTTTATGTGGGTTTGTGGTGGTGGTGGTGGTGGTGGTGGTGGTGGTGGTTGGGGGGGGGGGGGAGGATATCAAGAAGGAACTAATTATAACTCCACAGTTGTCAACTGAAACTCATCATGATATTAATTGAAGTTTTCATCTAATTTTGCAACTTTGTGGTCAGGATCATCATGGCATACAGTAGCAATGTTCATATTTGTGAGGGAAAGGACATTCAGCAAATCATCAGTGAAGTGCAAGAAAGCCTGACAGAGATTACAGTGGAAGCACTAGAGAATGGAAAACCTACCAAGGACAGATACATCAAGGTATGTGCATTATTTGTAGCCATCTAGACTAGCTGAAGCTATCAGTTTGGTAACAGAAAGTATTAAAAGTTTTAGAAATGAAGATGAATTCATCTTTCTGAATTTATCATATAATTAACTTGTAGTAGTATCACTGATTGGGATGTAATCAGGATATTTAATTGAGACATTGTTGGAGATAGTTGGTTATTTAAACAATTATCACCCTTTAAAAGTTTGTTTTCAAGTGCTGATAAAAAGCTATTTTTTATTTTACTGCAGGCTAAAGTATTGACCAAATGGCCGCTATTACCACATAAAAACAAAGGCACCACCTTGATGAAAACCATTTTGCAGGATGTGGAAGGTGAAAGATGAAAATTATTGCTATAAGTTATAACATTGCTGCTGTTTATCAATAAATTTGAACAAAGATTGAAATTCCTTATATGATAATAGCTAATCATTTCTTAAGATTTCATATATAAAATTTTGAATACAGAATGCATGCTATATCAGAATCTCGCATGAGTGTCACTGTGTGTTCATGAGTTTGAATGTGTTTGTTTGTACAATGTATTTCCTACGTACTCGATTCTTTTACTCTATTACATTTTAATATGCACTTCATTTTCACTTTTTAAGGGAAAAGTGAGACAATCAGTGGATGTTTTTGGGGTGATTATGCAACAGCCTGTGACTGTTTGGAAGTTGGGGTAGGTTTCACTTTTCACATACAGTGTTGACATTAAAATTAAAACTTCTAATTTACCTGTTGAAAATGGTTTTACTGATTAAGTAATTGATTTACTTGCAATTGTCAGGTTGGAAAAGAACCAGTTGAATTATCTCTTAGTAAGGAAAAAATCTATGCAGTTACAATTATCGAGGGAGATATCTATGTAGAAAAAAATTTGTTAATATCATCTATCAGAGATGTGATTTAGTGAGTCAGATATTGATGAAAAAACTAGATACAGTTGGTGAGATGTTTGATATGTGTCAAGAGTTAGCATACAGTGCCCTGAATTAGGATATTGTTGTAAGCTGTTTATATTTTTTTCTTTTCTATTTTGAAAGGATGTTCTTGTGATGAATGATGTCTTTTTGGAGAAAAACACAAATAGATTTGTGACCAGCCACACATGCCAAATAATTGTGGATGAAAGAAAAAGCAAGCCTAAAATCTGGGTAATTATAATTTATATTACAATATATTTTCATTACAGTATATCACTGTTAATAAGGGGTTGTTTTGAAAATTGTTGTCAATAATTTTGGAAAGTGTTTTTTTTTTTTTTTTTTGTATTTTGTGGCCCTGCCTTACAAGGTTCAATGTGGGAGTAAATACACTCAAAAAATGACAATGAAGAACCAGTGTTTAGAATAAATGTGGAACTTGGTTTTAAAATTGAAAGTGATATGAACAAATGCTTGTAGTCACTTCACATACACACAACAAGCACATCTTCATACTTTTTATTGGAGGAAAAAAATGAGAGGAGGATAGAAAGTTGTCAGAATTTTGTTTATATTATAAGTGACTGAAATGACTACCGTGCCTGCCTTTATCACCTTATCTTTCATTCTGCTTATATCCACCAAGTAATGCTATTTTATTTTGTGCAGATTGTCAAAAAACAAAAAGATGACAGTGGAGAATTGCCTGATGTAATAGAAACAGAAAGACCTGGGTCAGAAAGAAGTCCAACCAAGGGCAAGATGCCTGTACAGGAAAAACAGAAAACAAGGATCAAAAACAGAGAAGTGCAACACAAAGATAAAGACAGGGACACATTTCAAATGAGAATTAAACTTCAGAAATCTCAAAATAAAATGAGGGAAGCAACAAAAATAAGAGATGCAACTTCAGATGATGGAGAAGAGGAAACGGGGTTTGAAAGCAACATGGAAGTCTCTTATACCAGTGGCAGATCAAATAGAAATAATGCTGATAAAAACCCAGGAAATCGCCCTGTTGATTGTCAAGGAAGAGCAGAAGCAACTGTCAACAAACAAAACACAACTGTCTCCCCAGAAAGACCTGTTAAAAAGCTAAAGGTCAGCGCATCAGTTCTTGGAGTAAACAAATCTGTTGAAATTATATAAAATGTTTGAAAAGAAATGTATGATTTAGCAATTGTTTTGAGACACAAAATTATTGTTGAATCTTGAACTTGAGTGACAATACACTGCACTTTGCATGAAGCCAAACATGCACACTCTGGGGTAGCGCTAGCACTCGTCAATTTAGCCAAATGCTAAAACTGACTTAAATTGGCTAAAGAAAAAGGGCTTGATTTGACATGTTTAAGCCAAATTATAACCATTTTGGTAACAAATTGGTTATAATTTGGCTTAAACATGTTAAATCAAGCCCTTTTTCTTTAGCCAATTTAAGTCAGTTTTTTATCAGCATTATTTCATTTTGGTAACAAATTGACAAAAATGTGGTGATTTGGCTAAGCGAAAAAAATTGCTAGCGCTACCCCAGACACTTATAAGAAACTTCTATGCACCAGAGTTCAGATAAAGATAATTCATTTAGAAGAATGTTGATATTTATTTTTGTGGAACTCTGTAATTTGAGGTTAAATTTAACATGTATTCTCGTGTCCTGTGGTTCCAGGTGGGTGAAACGAACAGGAAGTACACGTACGTCCCTCTGAGTAAACTGACCAGAGGAGCCACAGTGGACGTTTACGCCGTGGTCAAGTTTTTCAAACCACCCACTAAGACACGAGGTTCAGGTAAAGTTTATAATACAGTTAATCCCAAATTGAAGATATGCCGTTCTAAAAAAATGGAACATTGATTCACTGGAAGATCCATACAATGAAGTGGCAAACAAGAGACGTTTATCTCTCCACTTTTAGGGGATCTAATGCTCGTGGAACTTAGGTGTCATCTTTGTTTTTGTGCCTTGTTTCTGTGGCTAGATTTTTCTTACAGGAATGCAGTTTGTGCTAAGATAATGCATAAATTATTTACTTGAAAGATTGTAGGTTCGTTTTGGTTAGTGTAATTTAAAGATTTTTTGGAATCAGCAATTTAAAACATACCTTTGTCTAGTTGCAGGGAAGATACTTAATTTATGGTAATAGCAAAAACACTGTCCTCAGTCTTTTATTAATCAACAGACATACATGTAGTGTGTGAAGTGGGTTTCACAGTTTTGGACAAACAGACTTATCTTATGCTATTCAGACTACTACATGGTACTCTCCTTGGTGGATCCATCTCTAGCAGACAAGGAGAAAATCAAATGCATTTTGTTTGCAAAGAGTGCTACAGATTTACCGCCTGTCCAGACTGAGGGAGAAATAGTCAGGATGCATAGACTGAAGGTAGTGAGGCTGTTGTGTATATTATGATTGACAATACTCCTTTATCTCATTAAAACATCATCCAGTATTGATTTAATTTTTTTTTCTTGGTGGATTAATGTCTGTTATAGATATTCATGCTTTGTGCAGGTTGTTGGAAACATTTGCCAGCATGTTTTTATGACAACATTTAAAACATTTTGATATTTCATGGTTTCTCAACTCAGTTTGGGTAGCTTTTGACAAATGATTTCTGTATTTAGATAAAAAATCAAAAAAGAAAATGAAAATCAATTGAAAATACAAAATTCTTAATGTATGCTTTAGCCAGACCAAATAATTTTTAACATGTATGAAAAGAAAACATTCAGAGTGTGCTAATGTGATCAGAAAAGCTCAAAATATGATTGCTTGCTCTATACTTTATACGCCCAGTAAACATATGTGTCCATTGCAGATTGGGACTTTTAATGGGGAATTACAAGGACAGAACGGGCCAGGCTTCTCCTGTATTGTTTTCTCTGCTGACCTGGAGGATCCCATTGAACCTAAGTCCACCACCAGGGGGTACACTTTGACTGACCAAGACAGGCTGAAGGTATGTGTGTAATTATGAGCAGCCTTGAGGTGATTATATGTGATTTTGTTATTGTAATGTTATGTTTTATTGGTGCTTCTGCTTGTTTTTTATTCACCTAGTCTCCTTTTTGTATCTCTGTTGAATTTAATGCACTGTGTAAACATGCACATATGCACAGACACAAACTATAGATTTTTTGATTTATTGGAAATCTGGTAACCTTTTTTGTGCACACTATGTAAATAATTAAATAGAATACGTGTCCTGTGTGCTTAACAGTTACTTTGAGGAATTTGTTCTTAAAATATTAATATTTAATTGCAGCACTTGCAATGTGAGTCCACTACTAGGAGTAAAATAACTGATTGTAGATCAGGGGCGGATCCAGAGATATTTTCTGACAGTCTCCCAAATTATTTTTGTTAATCCATCCTCCATTTTTGACCGTCTTCCGACAGAAAATATAAGATACCCGTCAATGTAAACTTTAAAATCTGACCGTCTTCCGGAAGACCCAGAAGACGGCCTAAATCCGCCCCTGTTGATTAATATTGTAAGTGGAGATGATAAAATAAATATTTATTATCACTTGCGTTATTGCGTACTTCAGGTGGAGGAGCTTAGAGAATGGTCTTTACAAGGGGAATGTTTTAGTCAAGAAAGGGATAACAGGTGCACTCTGGGAGAATGTGTGGTTGGCCAGTACTTTGATTTGTTGTGCCAGGTAATCAGAAGTGTGTGTGTGT